TTCTTACAAACATCTGTTTCACCAGGTCACGGTGACTTCAACCAAAGATGGACATCCTTCCAGCTACACATTAATTATTACTCATTATCCATCTTAAACTTATCTTAACCCCAATTCTCTTCCCCTTACCCTATCAGGATAATAACATTATAGCCTTATGGATGTTGTCTGTCCTGTCAGTTGCCCAAGCCATGACCCCTTATCAGACTGATCTTGTCTGTTCTGTCAGTTGAATAACATTACAGGCACATAGATCTTGTATGTCCTGTCAGTTGCCCCAACCATGGCCCCTTATCAGACTGACCACAGCTGGTCTCTCCTATCTCTGCTATAGGATCAAGGAAATCACAAATCATACAACCATTCTTATCTTCAAGGATACAATGAAAGCATTAAAATAATATAGCTATATTTAAAGCTTAAAGATTACAAAAACAAGCAGGGGGGTTACAAGGAAATCAGAAAGCACATAACTATGGAAGGAATACATCTCTTGACAAGAATACTGAGTACAGTTTCTATCACAGATGTGCACATTCTCATATGCCAGCCCCCCACCCATGTCTTCATATGCAGGTACAACTTCCACATACTCAGGTTCGCTATCAGATTCAGTCCCAATGTCCATTCCCATCACACACGTAAGGACAAATATCCCATAATAACACATCTTCAAATCACATGTATCAGTTCCATGACAATTTCTACATCTGGGGCTCTCAGTGGTTTTTGAGACTTTATTAATTTAGGTCTTGTCTGGTTTCACATTTCTCTCTCTCTTTATTAGTTCTATCTTCAAATGCTATGGGAAAGCACTTCACACCTGATCAACACTTTGTTGTTCTTAGCCAAGTTGTTAGCTTAACCACAAAGATTGTTGTCATGTTTGCAGGTTCAATTCTTGCTTCTATTAACCCCATTTTTGATTGTATCATTTGTTTGTCACAAAGGGGTCTCAAGAGATTGAACCGAGGCATTCCCGTACCCCTTATCCCAGCGGGTAAGAAGTACCGTTTCCTTGACCCTGAAAAAAATGAGGTGGTTGTGTGCATAGACGTTGCCTACCCTGTTTGTTATTTCTTACTGCAAGCAGTTTTCTTAACAAACAATTGTACACGTAAGTGGAAATGCCTCTTTCGCATGGTACAAGAAAGCTTTCTTAGTAAATGGATTTTCCCATACAGCCCAATCCTACACATTACTTGTAAGGCTAGTATCGCGGAGTTCAATGTACAAAATAATTCAATGTACAAAAACAGAGTCATCATCTTCTCTCAATACAATCCTTGGAAGGCATCCCTTCTCTCCTTTTAGATCAGTGTTTCTCCAATTTGGCAACTTTAAGATCCATGGACTTCAACACCCAGAATTCCCTAGCCAGCAAGGTTGGCTGGGGAATTCTGCGAGTTGAAGCCCACATATTTTAAAGTTGCCAAGGTTGAGAAACGCTGCTGTAGACCCTGCAGAAACTCGAATCCCAAAAGAGAAGGGTGGTATTCTGCACTAGGCAGGGACGGCTGCTCGAGCAAAACTACGACCTTCCAACAGCCCTGCCTAGTGCCTTCATATCCCACAATCCAGTACACGCGTTCTAAATCTCTTCCCCGCGCTAAAATAGTCACTTGCCTCGGCCTTACTTGCGTATCCCAGCATGCACTACACCGGTAGGATCGCCGCTGCCGTTCCTTTTCCTCGCTTCTATTTCCTCCAATGGCCCACAATTCCGCGCGTGCATAACCCCCCCCTTCCCCCCGCCGCCCCAGAGCCGCAAAATGGCGGACACAATGAGCCGGAGTTGCCGCTGCCTCCTCCCCGCAGCGTGAGTCCAGCCCGCTGAGGGCGCAGTCGGTTCGGTCCTTCCCCCGCTCGGCGTTCTTCTCTCGCCGTTCCCGTTCCGTCCCCCGCAGGCCAGTCCTGCCCCGCTCCGCTTCCCCTTACCTTGGCCGGCGCGCAGGCCCCGCCGGCTCCCTTTCCCCGCGACGGCGGAGGCGGCATGAAGCTGACAGACAACGTGCTGCGGAGCTTCCGCGTGGCCAAGGTGTTCCGCGAGAACTCAGACAAGATCAACTGCTTCGATTTCAGCCCCAATGGCGAGACCGTCATCTCCAGCAGCGACGACGACTCCATCGTGCTCTACGATTGCCAGGAGGGAAAGTGAGTGTGGCGAAGGCTGGCCGAGCGAGGGCCCCGGCGGGATGCGAGGAGCTCTTCGCGGGAAAAGAGGGCCGGGGAGGGGGGGGATCCGAAGCAGATGGGCAGGTTTTGTCCTCTCGTTTATTAAATGCGTATTCCACCTTTTCACCGAAAACCGAATCCATAGCTGTGTTGCAAAGAGCGGTTCTTGGAACGGGGCTTTTAAAACGGGGGGGGGGGGTGCGGTCGGCGATTACTATAGGTGGACGGAAGGGCACCTCTGAGACAAATGGAGGCTTTGCATTGCAATTTTTGATCGCTTTGGGGAAAGGTGGGTGATAAACCTAAGTTAAACATACACTTTTTAAACACTCTTCAAGTTCTTATTGCTATAAACTGTGATGTTAGCAATTCTAATCTAAAATGTATATTTTTAAATATATGAAAGAGTACTTGGCAGCCTGTGTGTTCCCGTTTCTGAACTAAGGACTGGATTACTTGGATCTCAAAATCTCTTGTTTCGTTTTTTACTAAAACAGTGTTGAGAATTTCCTGTCAAATTCCTGTAGGCAGAGCTCTTTGTAGTTTGGCTGGGGCAAAGTTGACAAAAGTATTAGATTGCCCCAATAGTCAGGAAATGTTAGTATGATAACAAAATAGGCAATTTCTTCTTGATACAAGAACATCTTCCTTTTAGCTACGAAGGTTGTAATGTATCTTCATATGGAAAAAATAAAAACATTTCCATTTGAATTACACATGACCTGAACGGCAAATTGTTATAATACACTTAGGCTTTTGTGGATTCACTTCATCAGATGTATGGAGTATATTCCTGAGAAAAATTATATATTCACGCAGCTCATGTCACAGTTTTGTGTTATGAACTACCCTGGTGGGAATGAGAATTCATTATGGGGGTGCTGACTATCTCCTTTCAATTTGCAGTAGCTTTTATTGAGACTTTGAGCTGTACTTAACTTGTAAATAAATAAAATACTATAAAATATCAATAATTCTCCTGTGGCCATATTCCAGAAGCTCTCAAATGTGGGACAGTACTCTACCCTAAATTTCTCACCATTTCAAGAAGTAAGTTGTGTGTGACAGTGTTATACTAGTGGGGAACTTTTGGGTAACAGTTTGCAAGCAAGTTTGTGAATTTAGGCTGAGACACTATTCAAAAATAATGTTTTTACCTTAGGCATGGGCTTGTAGTGAAATATGAAGTGAGTTTAACTAATTTATCAATTACACCAGGCAATGCTATTGCTTGCTAAGTGACCACACTTCTGCTACTGTGAACAAATAGAAATTAAATTGTAGCTGTGATTGTAGCTGTGTCAAGAATTGTTCTGTATTTATTTTTCTGTATATCTGGAAACTCAATGATTTGGGGATTATTATTGCAAATGCAGTTTTGCATTAGTGGATTTTAATGAAGTGGATAGTGGAATTGGAGATGGAGATAGGTATTCAGACAATTCATTAAAATCCACGAATGCAAAAATAATATGCATTATTATGATTAGACATACAGTTAAATTTGCAAGTGTTATCTTGTCCAAAATCTAAAACTGTCAGTGCAATATTTGATTATTCATGTTTGCCAGACATTCTTCTTCAATTTTTCAACGTGAGGTTGTCCTTTTCAGTTTTTTAAGTAAGAAATTCATTAAATTTTCAAATTTGTAATAAATTGCTAATTCTTATTTGGATAGGTGCCTTCTCTAGTAAATGTTACTGATAATTAGCTTGAATGCAATTAAATATATAAAACAAAAAGCAGACCTGTTGAATATTGGGGGGAAATACCCAGAAATTTTTTATAGGTTAACTTTCAAGATTTCATAACTCCTTTATTAACTTAGATGGTTTAAAATCTAGAGAAATGGGAGGGGTGGGATGTGATTGGTGTTTTAATTTATTTGCGCTAGGTTATACTCTTAAATGGTGTTTTGGATAGCTCATAGAGAGCAGATCTATTTTTCACCTTTCAGCCAAGAAAAGTAGCTTCACTTCAGCTACTTTCTGGTAATGGGAACAATTGTTTATTGCCAGGAACCTTTGGGAGAATTTGGCACAACTAACACAACATAACCAGATTAGGCTTAATTTGCATGTCAAAAGAGCACCTCACATTGGGCACACTCCAGGTCCCTTCACTTAAATGTTGTCCTCTAGCATACCTAGGAAGCACACCTTCTCAATAGTGGCCCCTGCTATGTGGAACACTCTCTCCCTTGAGATCCAGCAGGCCCTCATTCTTTTGGACTTCCAGAAAGCCTTAAAAAACTGGCTTTTCTCCCAACTATTGGGATAGGGTAAGGCTGGAGCCCAGTGATTGTGACTATTTATGTATTGGGGGATGTTGCTTTAGGGCGCCAGGAATTGTTTTTTGGATGGTAGTTTTTATTGCTGCTTTTATGTTTTTATTGCTGTTGGAGTGAGCTGCCCAGAGTTACTACATTTAGGATGAGCAGCCATATACCTCATAAATAAATATGTAAATATCATCTTAGAACTGCAACCTTGTGCAGACATGGTATCAGTACTAACCACATTGTCATTTCTCTCCACTATCACTGTTGTTACCCTTCTTAGATTTTAGTAATCTTTATTTTACTAAAAAGTATCTTCTACTGTGATGTAATAATGACAAATGATTTAACCTCTGCTTGTTACTTCTGGATGAACGTCTTGGAAGTCTCTTTGCTGATGATTTAACTTAAATTTTGATTAAATTGTGTCTGCTTGAAAAAGTATGTTTCAGATCCTCAAACTTTTGCACTTTTCTATTATATTTTAAAAATGAATATGTCTTAGAATCTCAGCTGGTTTGTGTTTTCAGAGTAGTTGCCTTTCCCTTCAGTTCTGTGTATATTCATATTTTTTTTGGCCAGGTACTTTTTTTTTTTAATTCAGCATCTCAGTTGTTTCTATTTTCCTCCTCACCACAGATTTTCTTTCCTTTGATCCAATTTCTAGGAAACATTTTCAGATTATTCTTAAGCCTATATCACTTTTTGTAATTTATTTAAATGAAGTAGCAAACAAAATCTTGTGAACCTATTAAATTAGCTCTTTACAAAGCCCTGGTACAGATAGACCTACAGAGTTATCAGGAACTTCATTCTTTAACGCACTGAACTGCAAACTACCCAACTACATTTTAGCCTAATGGGTTGTGAAAATGCGCCCTATATGGTTAGTTTATGGTTTGGTGTGTTGTGCATGTCCAGAATATTGGGTTAATGGAATCATGGTTAAGTTAATCTCGGGGAGATAGATCTTGCAGTCTTAGGCATTATCCCATACTTTTTGCTTTGGGCAGAGGCATAATTTGCAAGAGAGCAAGGAAATTATTTATGTTTGCTTTCTGTGCATTGTGTTGATAACACATCCTTATATTTCATAATACCACAGTTTTTATTCCCCTACTTGTATCACAAGTTATTTCATTAATTCATTTTTAGTGAAAATTGCATCCTGTTCTTTTGCTGCTTATGTATTGGTCTAGGGAACAACAGCAGTTATAATTCAATTCATCCAAGGCAACAGAACATTCTTCCATATTGTGTCTGAAGCACCCCATGTGTTGCAAAGTATTACATCTAGACTTAAGAGTTTTTGACATGAAAGGACTAAATTAAAAAATTTCCCTTAATTGTGAAACTGATCATCTCTTGGCCAGCTGACCAACTTGATTTGATGATTACAAAATACTAATAATCATCTTGCAAAATTACAACACTGCTATTAACTGAAGTTTTGTTCAAGCTGACTAAAGAGTGCACATATGCTTATATATTTACTAATATATGATTTGACTTGGCCACCTAATACTTTAGTGGTTTTTATATTTATATTTGGTTGTATTATATAACCAAAAAGTAATCTTGCTGGAGAAACTCAAAATCACTAGATGTAAACATATTTTAGTCACACAGAGTAGAAATATAATGAAAATTCAGGTTGTCAGCAACAGCAATGGTTGCTTCTAACTGCTAGGACAGACCTTGGGTTTCCTTGGGCATCTTTTGAATTTGTCCTTTAGTAAAGGTGCAGTACAAGTTATTTGTTGTTTTACAGTGTAAGGTAGGTTTGAAGAATTAAAAAATGATCATTCTTATAAAGGGGATTGGATAATATGAGTTACAATGTGTATGGCAAAACAGAATTCTTCTGTTCTGAAAACAGTATAATTATTCTTATTTTTTTTCCCCTTGGCAGACCCAAGAGAACACTATATAGTAAAAAATATGGAGTTGATCTCATCAGATACACTCATGCTGCCAACACTGTTGTATACAGTTCCAATAAAATAGATGGTAAGTGAGCCATTCTTCCCAATGGTTACCTACACATATTAGATGTTTGATACTTTAATAAGTATTGAAGGCTTGAGGAGATTGATTTTGACTGAAATTAATAGTGTATTCATTGAAGCTTTTAATTGATCACTTAATGTTTTCTTAATCTTAAATCCTAATTTTAAAGCAATGCTTTTAAGGAAGTTCCCTGATTAGTTTTTGACTCAGAAGTAAATCAGAGTGAAATTTAAGCATACACTAGCAATTTAATTTAAAAAGAAGGTGTTTTCTTTGAACTGTTAACAATATTTTTGTCAAGGAATAAATCAGTTTTGATACGAAGGCTTTTATAGCTTTAACTTGCAAACAAGAGAAACAGACTACTTCTCTTTCCTGCTCCCTCCTGATCATCAGTTGTCAATAAGTTATATACTTTATTGGAACAGTGCATATGACCAATCAGCAAAAATGCAAATCATTGTCCTTTATCAAATCAATAAAATACACTTTTAAGCATATCAACCCCCCAGCAGTCCCTCTTATCCATACAAGAAACTCTTTTTCACTTACTTTGGTCCTTTCAAAGTCTCCCACTTCTTCAGAAATCCTTGGGTTTCAGCAAGTTGTTTTCCTTAATTCAGTAATTTCTTCATTTTTCTTGGAGACCTGTATGTCTTGCTTAACAATACAGAAATGTCATTAAGGCCTAAAATTCTTTACATATTCCTGTAAACTCTGAAATCTCATACAAAATAAAAATTTAAACTTAAAAGATCTCTGCATTTTGAAAGTGTATATCTACCTGGCATTTCTTTTTCTTTCAGGGCCTCTTTTTCATATGTTTCCTCCTGATTCTTTGGTAACAACTAGTTTTCCGTGTTTCCCCCCCCCTAATTCTTCCATAGACAGCAGTTTCTACCTTTGGTTAATTCTTATCTCAACTACTAAAACATTTGTTGGTATTATTACTATTGATCAAATTTGTATCCTGCTGCAATCAATCACAGGACTCTGAGTGGCTCACAAAGTAAGAATATACAGTGAGTTAGAAAAACATAAAGACAGGACAGTTAAAACCCAGACTTAATACATAGCTTCAGGCCCCAAAAGCCCTCCAGAAAAATCTTCAGCTTTTTCCAGAAAGTGGGCAGTTTTGGAGACAGAAAAATCTCCAATTGGAGGTCATTCCAAAGAGTCGGCCCCATCATGGAAAAACTGGACTTCTGCCCCTAACTTCCCCGAAATGGGAGACAAATAGCTGTTTCTCCTGGCATGACTGAATTTGCTGAAACCAACTCTAGTGAGGAGAATTTGCTGAAACCAACTCTAGTGAGTAGGTAACCAGGCGTCAAGGCATAAAGGGCTTTAAATTGCACCTAGAAGCTAATTGGAAACCAATGTGAGGCCTACAAAACAGTTATAATATGTGTCCAGTGGTCCACACCTGTGAGCACCTGGGCCACTTCAGTTTGTATTAACTGAAGCTTCCAAGTGGTCTTTAAAGGCAGCCTAATGTAGGGCATGTTGCAGAACTCTAATCAGGTGGTAATGAGAGTATGAGCCACTGTAGTCAGGTCTTCCCAACTAAGGCCACAACTGCTGCACCAGCCAAAGATGGGCAAAGATCCTCCTGGCAACAGCTTCAACTGGCTGATTCAGTAAGAGAAGCAAGTCCAGGAGGACTCCCGAGTCGTAGACCTTCAGGGGCAGTGCAACCCCATCCAGAGACAAAAAGGGTGTAGAGGAACTCTGGTGTGTAAACAGTACTGTAGCTCCATCTTGCTAGCATTTATTTAAGCCTGTTCTCTCATCCAGACCCACACTGCTTCCAGGCACTGGGACAGAACTTTAACAGTGTCTCCAGCCTGGCTCAGGATTGTGATGTATAGTTAGGTGTCATTGATGTATTGATGATTCAAGATCCCAAACTGCCAGATGACCTCCCCCAGGGACTTCACATACCTGTTAAATAATAAGGGGCAGAGAACCGACTCCTTCAGCATCCCACAGGGAGCACCACAGTGCCAATCTCTCTCCCAACCACCACTGACTGGAACTTAGTGCTAAAGAATGGGCAGAACTGCTGCAAAACAGTGCTTCCAATCCCTGCAGCCAGTCCAGAAGGATACAATGGTTGTTAGTATTGAAGGCTGCTGAAAGGTGCAGAAAGATCACGTCAGGTATGCTAACCCTATCCATGTCCCAGCATAAGCTGTCAACTACAGCAACCAGTGCCACGTCTGTCCCATGCCAACCTAGCTGATATGGGTCCAGCAGATAATCCACTTCTAGGGTGCTGTGTGGTTGGTCCCAAACCACCATCATTAACTTCACTAAAAAGGGGTGGTAGTTATCTAATAGCTCTTAAGGGCTGGCATCATTGATTCCTCGTTCAAAGAGATTCACAGTCTCTCAGATCCAAGGAACTACCACCCTCCTCCCCAGCTGCTCCCAAAAGCCAGGAGGGGCAAGGATCCAGTCCGCAGGTGGTTAAGGACATACTAGAGAGCATCCTATCCACTTCCTTGAAGTAACTGTCTGAAAAAGAGCCCAGGGAATCTGGCAAGATGGTGTCCCAATGACCACACGAGATGCTGCCCAGGTGGAGTCCAGACTAGGGCAAATTTGAGCAACTTTACCACCAGAGTATTGAGCAAATGGTCATAGTGACTAGATGATAAATCAGCAGGATGGCCCATACCCAAAAGGGAATTGGGCACCTGGAAAAGGGCCACTGGGTGCCAACCAGCCAACAGAATAGGAAAGGAGAAATAATGATGTTTTGCCTCTCTTGTTGCCTCTAAATAAGCCTTAACCTAATAGCAATGCTAAGATATTAGTATTTTCTGGAAAAATATGTTTTAGCATCTTAGTTCATTTGCGGTATTTAATGTAAATCACTTGTATTTTGCTTGTTTATTAAATGATTGTTTACTTGTTAAAATACTTGATCATGAAAAATTTATATTTAAAGCTGTAATTCAATATACAAGTAGTAGATGACAGTACCTGGCTATTCTTGTCTGGGTTCTGGAACTAAGTGGAATCATGCCTGGTTAGTATTTGGATTGGAGTCTCCAAAGACTACCTGGGCCTAAAGCTAGACTGGAAGGGCAAAGGAAATCCCAGAAGAAGGCAATGTTGCTTCCATGCTATCGCAAGAAGACTACATAGATGTGTCAGCCTCCTCTTGAAAGACAGACTTTATGATCCCATATATTTTCTTACTTCAGTTTAAATATTAAAGTAATCAATAAGAAAACTGAACATTGTTTATATATTTATGCAGCTGATTTATATATTCTTTGTCTGCTTCCTAAAGAAAATGTTTGACTTGTTTGCATACTCAGTTTATAGTTAATGCTTTGAAGGAAATCCCTTTTTTTTTTTAAGGAAAATTCCATAAAATTTTCTGCCCCATCTCATTGATGATGTGTTTGAAAAGGTATTTGTTCTGAATTATTAAATGCATGGCTATTAATGACCATGATCACTATATAAGCCCTGAGTAAATAGCTGCTAAAAATGACCTCCTTTTTTCATCATGTGAAGGATGATTCCTTAAAATTGCAGTTTAATTATTAATTAGTAATAATTTTAAAAAAACCTGCACAGTAGTCCATAGAGATGCTTACCACCTTGATATTGGTGAGTATATTATAATGATTTGACACTATATTGTAGCACATGATTAAAGTTGGAAAATAGGAGGCATCTCTTTGCTTATGAAGCCTGTCCATGGATCAGTGAAATAGATTCTCAAAGTGTGGGTATATAGTGGAGCATTTTTAATGCATCTTCACATGTAACTTATTCTTGTGTTTAATCCAGTTTATTAACTCCATGTTACTATTTCTTTCCTGTTTATATCACAAACTTGTGAGACTGAGAATCAAATTCAACAAAGCTGTAAGATGACACAGGTGGAATAATCCTGATCAGATTCTTCCTTTGCTTTCCAAGTGCTTGATGTCAGGAAAAGGGCAGAAAGCCCAGGATCTGTAGACTGGAATTTAAATTTAAATTTGGATATTTAAAGGAATCTTCCAGCATTTATGATAATAATTTTTAATTATATAAATTGACAAATAATATTAGTCCAGTATGTGTCTTTCAAATCATTGCAATATAAAGGCATCTCAGGAAACTAACTGGTATGGTACTTGCAGAAGAGTACCACTATGTACTTATTATATTATATTATATTATATTATATTATATTATATTATATTATATTATATTAATTATCCCTATGTATAATACATAG